TCATCTTCGTCAAGCTTTAAAAGTTCCACGTTTTTATAATGCATATGAATCATCATCATCATCACCAAATTGGCTTAAAACATTTCCTTATTGTTTAGCAATCATTCATCAGTTTCAATTATGAGTCGAGAAGGAGACAAATCTTGCAATCATTATCATCAAGCCGTCAAAATCCCACGTTTTTAACCCTCTCCAAATCTTCGTCGTCATAATCATCATCGTCGTCGTCGATTCATCATCATCATCACCACCACCACTACCACCACCACCACCATAGTCGTCGTCGTCGTCGTCATCATCGTCGTCGTCATCATCATCATCATCATCATCATCATCATCATCATCATCATCACATCGGCTTGAAACATCTTTCTTGTTTTTTGGCAGTCATTCATCAGCATCAATTGTAAACCCAGGAAATTTCGACACTTACAATCATCTTCGTCAAACTTTAAAGGTTTCACGTTTTTGTAATGCATATAAATCATCATCATCACCAAATTGGCTTAAAACATTTCCTTATTGTTTAGCAATCATTCATTAGCCTCAAGTATCAACAAATCTTGCGATCATCATCATCAAGTTGTCAAAAGTTCACGTTTTTAACCCTCTCTAAATCTTCGTCGTCATAATCATCATCATCGTCATCTTCGTCGTATCATCAGATCAGCCTGAAACATCTCTCTTTTGTTTGGCAGTCATTCATCAGCATCAATGATGAACCGAAGAGGTCTTACAAGTTATCACCATCAAGCTGTAAAAATTCTACGCATTTAACCTTCTATAAATCATCATCTTCACCTTCATCAAATCGACTTGAAACATCTCTCTTATTGTTTCGCAGTCATTCATTAGCATCAATGATGACCCGAAGAGGTGTTAAAAGTTATCATCAACCTGTAAAAATTCTACGTTTTTAACCCTCTATAAATCATCATCTTCGCCATCATCAGATCGGCCTGAAACATCTCTATTATTGTTTGGAACTCATTCATCAGCATAAATTATGAACCCAAGTGGTGTTAAAAGTTGCATTCATCATCGAGTCCTAAAAATTCCATGTTTTTAACACTGTATAAATCATCATCTTCGCCATCATCAAATCGACTTGAAACATCTCTCTTGTTGTTTGGCAGTCATTCATCAGCATCAATTACCCAAGAGGTGTTAAAAGTTGCATTTATAATCATCAAGTTGTCAAAATTCCACGGTTTTTTCATCTTCGCCTTCTATCAAGCGCCTGGATCCGCTTATCAAAAGTCAAAGATGCTTTCGAGCTTTCTGACAAATGTAGTTGTAAACTTTATAAACCGGCGGTTGATGCTTCTTGTTTTAAGCTTAGGCCCCTTCTCAGAGATGATTACAGAGTTGATTTTGATTAGGGGCGACCCCGGCCGCAATTCGGGCTCGGTTTAATCACGACTTCAAGGTATACAGCACCCTCCTCCATTTCTCCTTTCACAGACCACGTCCGATCGACGACTAGTGGGGGTGTTTGGAATTGGTAGTTTTGTGCAAATTTCCCCCCTCGGATGTTTGGTCATAAAAAAAGGGCTTCTTCCTCGATCGAGATCCTCGTAACCGTATAAATGCCGCTTTTGTTCAAAGGAGGACAATGAGTGTAGGTAACCGTCGCCCCAATGGGCATTAGGGATATTAAAGTCTTCCTCTCCTCCCGGCACAGCTCAAAGGGTTCATTGTCGGCCAGATGAGGTTTTCTTTTCCTCAAACTCTCTTCCACGGCCCTTTTGTCTGAACGCTTCCCCGCCCCCGGGCTCGGGGCCGAGTGGAAAAGGGAAAAAATTAAACCTATTCGGAACAAAAAGATCCGGAAAAAGAACATTAATAACAAGACGTTCCATCCTGGCTTGGAATTAAAAAAAAAAAAAATAACATTACAAAAATATAAACAAATGGTGTTTTAAGGTCATCTACATGTGCATAGATGCCATATGAGCACTGCTGTATAGAAGGACTTAGATTTCACCAAACCTCATCGTATTTCGATTGGTCTTGGAAGAAGCGCTTAAAACCCCCGACCCTCCTGTTATATAAAAATTAAAAAACCCATTTCACCCCAAAGAACAAAAGAAGTCTAGTTTACCCCGTATCGGTCGGAAACGAGGCGGAAATTAGCCGAATTGCACTCCGCCTTGATTGGGCGGCCATTGTCCGTCTTCCGTTATCATTGTGATGCCGGACAATGAACGATAAGCGTACCATTTTTAATGGAAAGATCCATTGTTGTCGGCGGACGATTCAAAACTTTACGTGGATTTCACCCCCCGAAAATCCCCGGACGCCGCCTCGTTCTAATTAACAGTCTCCCATCCCAGGCCATTAGTTAATTTAAACCGGTTGATCATTGCCAATCTAGTCGAATGTCAAAGATCAAACGGTGTTTTTACTGCATCCCTTTCAACAGTTGGTCGCTCATGTGATTTACTCGGTTGCCGTACGATTGTACAATCTCTTAACGAGCCTGATAACGCCCTTAACATCTAGAAACCCGGCTGTTTTTTTTTGTTTTTTTTATTTTTTTATTTAAGTGACACCACGGTTTAACGTAGATTAATCACTTAGGTAACTGATACACCCTCTGTAAAAAGTGCCTTTTATGAAACGATTAGCTGTAATAAAAACATTAATCTTGAATCTGTATATAAACAACTGTTTGTTTAATGTGTTTATGATGATCACGATTCTTTTCGGATGTTAACACGTTATCAACATCAAGATGATTGACAGATGATTGAGATGTAGCAGGAAAATTCTCGAATCATTATGATCTGTGATTATTATACGATATGTCGAGCTGAATAACATAATTGAGATGTAATTAATCGGAAAATCTTACATAACTATGATCTATGATCATTCGTTTTCAAGTAATACGACTTGCCGAGCGAACTGACTGAAAATTAAGATGTAGTTGGAAAATCCTATTTTTTATGATCTTCGATAAATAGTAGTTCGATAAGTAACTTAATCTGACGATATGTCAAGCTGAATGGCAGAAAGTTAAGATGTAGTAGGAAAATTTAAGGTCGCTATGAACAATGATTATTTATTTTCGTGTAATCTGACGATAAGCCAAGCTGAATGTCAAAAAATTGAGATGTAGTTGAAAAATTCTAGAATCATTATGATCAATGATTATTTATTTTCTCGTAATCTAACGATAAGCCAAGCTGAATGATATATTTGAGATGTAGTTGAAACATTCTAGAATCATTATTATCTATGATTATTTATTTTCAATCTGACGATATGTCGAGCTGGATAACATAATTGAGATGTAATTAATCGGAAAATCTCACATCACTACGATCTATGACTATTCGTTTTTATGTAATACGACTTGCCGAGCGAACTGATTGAAAATTAAGATGTAGTTGAAAAATCCTATTTTTTATGATTTATGATCATTTATTAATAAATTAATCTGACGATATGTCAAGCTGAATGGGAGAAAGTTAAAATGTAGTTGGAAAATTTAAAATCATTATGATCTATGATTGTTTATTTTCAGGTAATCGGAGGATATGTCAGGCTGAATGACAGATAATTCATATCTAGGATTAAAACCTCGAATCATTAATGATTAATTAAACAATTAAAATAAATGATCTATGATTATTTATTTTCACGTAATCTGACGATAAGATAAGCTGAATGACAGATAATTGAGATGTAGTTAGAAAATTTTAGAATCATTATGATCTATGATTATTTATTTTCATGTAATCTTACCATATGTCAAGCTGAATGAAAGATAATTGAGATGTAGTTGGAAAATATCGAATCTTTATGATCTATGATTATTCATTTTCAATCGGATGATATGTCAAGTTGAATGTGAGATAATTGAGATGTAGGTGGAAAATCTCGAATCATTATGATCTATGATTATTCATTTTCATTCGGATATATGTCAAGTTGAATGTGAGATAAGTAAGATGTAGGTGGAAAATCTCGAATTTGACGATAGGTGAAGCTGAATGACAGATAATTGAGATGTAGTTGGAAAATGTCGAATCATTATGATCTATGATTATTTATTTTCACCTAATCTGACGATAAGCTAACCTGAATGACAGATAATTGAGATGAAATTGGAAAATTCTAGAATCGTTATGATCTATGATTATTTATTTTCACATAATCTGTCGATATGTCGAGCTGAATGTGAGATAATTGAGATGCAGATGGAAAATCTTGAATCATTATGAACTATGATTATTCATTTTCAATCGGATGATATGTCAATTTGAATGTGAGATAATTGAGATGTAGGTGGAAAATATCGAATCATTATGATCTATGATCATTTATTTTCGCGTAATCTGACGATAAGCTAAGCTGAAATACAGATAATTGAGATGTAGTTGGAAAATTCTAGAATCATTACGATCTATGATTATTCATTTTCAAGTAATCTGACGATATGTCAACTGAATGACAGATAATTGAGATGTAGTTCGAAAATCTCGAATCATTACGTTCCATGATTATTTATTTTCACGTAATCTGACGATATGTCAAGCTGAATGACAGATAACGATATGTAGTTCGAAAATATCGAATCATTACGTTCCATGATTATTTATTTTAAAGTAATCATGTCAAGCTGAATGACAGATAATTGAGATGTAGTTGAAAAATTCCAGTTCACCATGAACTTTATACAGAAGGTCTCTCATATTATTTTTATCCGGTTAGGAGGAAATAATTAATATTTCTTGTTTAAAAGTAGTTTGAGAAGTGGAACTATCAATGTTGAAGTGGATTAGCGCTGACAATGGCGGAAGGTGCAAGGCGAGACGACGCGGGCCCAGTATCAAGTCGAATAATGGGCACTATTAAGTCAATAAGGGTGGAGGGCGTGTCCGGGGGCGGGCCGGTGGCTCCAATCCGGCCAGAAAGGGGCGTCCTACCCCCGAAGGCGGCCGGGTATAAAAGCAGCCCGGATACGGCCGGGTGGTTTTCCATCGTCAGACATGGCCGGACCGGGGCCCTTCCTCTCCCCCATGCCCGGAGACCTTCTCACTGAGTACATGTTCGGCCGAAGACGACAGGTACCCCAACAAACATTTATCAATAAAATAATTACATAATAAAAATTAATAAATAATAACAATAAAAATCTCATCAAATTTTAAATAAAACATAAAAATTTCAAATCTTTAGTTTTTTATAGAAATGTACTTACATTTTTCCTCCCTTAAACAACAATACTCATCTAAACATTGTCAAATTGTATAAAAAATAAAATAAAATAATAATTAATTATTTGAATTAAAAAACCTGCACTAGTTTCGCATCCTTTCATTTTGTAATTTTACGTGCAAATCATCAAGGATCATCATGATCAGTGGTTTTTCCTGTTGGTTGTCTTATGTGTGGAGTTTTAAGGGAAGATCAACAATCATCGGGATTTTCCACCAAGGCAACATTCATACTAATATATCCCCAGTTTGATTTCGCCAAATCATTATGATCGATGATTTTCTACTCCATTGTATTTTTCATGATCATGATCAGTTATTTTGACTGTAATATCGCCAGATTTTAGGAAATAATTGATCGTCAATTGTCATGATTGGGCGCAGCGAAACTACTCATTAATCCTTTGCTGTTCAACGAATCATAACCATCGATTTGGCTAAATCATCAATTATTTAATCAATTTGGTATATCGTCAGGATACCTTACTAATAAATAATCATAGATCATAATGATCGGAAATTTTCTTAATAATTTTAATTTTTTTTGTCATTCAGCTTAACATATCAAAGATTACCTTAAAATAAAAATCATAGATCATAATGATCTGTGATTTTCCTACTTTGGCCATTATTTTCTGCCGTTCAGCTTGGCATAATATCAGAATACATAACAAATAAATAATCATAGATCATAATGATCCGATATTTTCCTACTAATCTTAATTTTTATGTTATTCAACTTGACATATCGTCAGACTACCTTAAAATAAATAATGATCTGGGATTTTTCAACTACATCTTGATTTTCTGTCATCCGGCTTGGTATATCGTCAGATTACCTTACTAATAAATAATCATAGATCATAATGATCGGAAATTTTAATTTTTTTGTCGTTCAGCTTGACATATCATCAGATTTTCTATAATTTAATGATCATAGATAATAATGATCTAAGATTTTTCAACTACATCTCAATTTTCTGACAACAGGCTTGGTACATCATCAGATTACGTTACTAATAAATAATCATAGGTCATACTGATCCGAAATTTTCCTACTAATTTTAATTTTTTTGTCATTCAGCTTGACATATCGTCAGGTTACTTTAATATAAAAATCATAGATCTTAATGATCTTTGATTTTCCTACTTCAGCCTTATTTTCTGCCGTTCAGCTTGCCATATTGTCAGCTTACATGACAAATAAATAATCATAGATCATTAAGATCTGAGATTTTCCTACTACTGCCTTATTTTCTGTCGCTCAGCTGATATATCGTCATATTACATCACAAATAAATTATCATAGATCATAATGATCCGAGATTTTCTCATTTACAAATTAATTTTCAGACGTTCAAAGATTTGCAAATAAATCATCATAGATAATTATGATCTGGGTTTTTCAAAGGTTGTCATACTGGCCAATTATGCACTTATATTTAAGCGATTTTTAAATATTGAAAATCAATCATCATGGTCGTTTATTTTCTAACTCATTTTACTGTCACATACTGTCCATCCTGCTATATTGTCAGATTATATACAATTAAATGATCATCGATCTATTAAATTTAATCAAAATCATAGAACTACAGTAAGGGATCATACTTGTTTATGTACTGTCAGACTACAATCATAATCATAGATGATTTTGTACAGATATTTTCCAATTAATATTTGTTGTCGGTTAGTTTGACATATCGTTAAAATTACATAAAAATAAAATTCATAGATCATAATGATCAAAGATTTTCTTATTTGTTTGGTCAATTTGATTTATATATCATCCGATTTGCTAATAAATAATCGAAGATATTTATATTTAAACATCCTGGCATCTGTTTACTTTCCAATAAATGCACATTGATTATTGCTGCTTTTATATATAATTATATATGAAATACCATATTACCGGGCATCATTACAACTTGATATACGGTCAGTTTACATGTAAGTAAATAATCATAAATCATTGAGCGGTAGTTTTCTAGCTTTGACCATACTCTCCTACCATATTTTCTGACATATTGTCAATACAAATAATCATAAATATGTCAGAATGTAACAGATGTACAAGTAATATGGCAAGTGCTAGTACATAATCTTACGATATGTTAGGTAAATGTTAAGAAGTTAAAATAATGTCACAAAATGGGCCATAATTTGAATGTAATCGGAGCATGGAGTGAGATCTTGATATGATCATATATTTCATACATAATATAAAGAGAAACTAAATATGATTTATGATTATTTACTTAAAAGCAATTTAATATGCTGTGTGACTGATTTATGATCATATTTGTGAAATGATGTGAAATCATGCCAGGTTGAAAGTATGATCATGTTGCTAATCCAATGACCGTCATGATCTGGATTGTGATCGTAACAAGGAGTGAGTTCATAATACAATGATCCATGATCATGTGTAGATATCAAACTGTATAGTACAATAATAATGTATGTTTATATATTTACACATGTGTAGATGTAAGGAATAAGGATGATGGTAGGATAGCATAAGAGTTGGTATACCATGGATCATCATGATCTATGATCATTTATCGAGCAGAAGAGGACATTAACTAAGTTGAAAAAAAAATTATGCATGACTAGATTTCAGGACATATGTTGTGATGCATAATGGAGTTAGAAAATTATGGATCATTACGATCATTTATCTACCTGAATAGTCAAAAAATCATGTGCAATGATAATTTATGCACATGTCAGGGTGGAAGTTGTAGTATGATTACCTTGCTTTATTATTTATGTTTACAGAATGAATAAGAGATTGGATAATAGTAGCATATGATTCATGATCTATGATCAATTACTTGCAAATTAATCTAGTAATGATGTTGAAAGACAGAATGGTGTGACAGGGTCCATCTTGATTTAAATCAAATATTTTTTGTACAGAGAAGAAACAGGACAACATTTCGCCCGCAACAGCTGCAGGAGCTCGAGTCGCTCTTCCAGAAGACACACTACCCAGATGTCTTCCTCAGGGAGGAAGTCGCGCTTAGGATCAGCCTGTCCGAGGCGAGGGTCCAAGTCTGGTTTCAGAACAGAAGGGCCAAATGGAGGAAACAGGCAAGGCTACAGCTGCTCCAAGACGCATGGAGGATCCGCTGCCTCGGCCTGAGCACGCCTCCATTGCTCATAGGTACACACATTCGTTACCGATCGACCGGTCGAAACTTATATTTTTTTTCAAGGCAGGGGAAACCAGGCACTAGCGGGACAACAGGACCATGAAGAACCGATTAAACTTTCCAACTCCAACGAACCGATCAATTATAGACTTAACATCCCATGGTGAGTTAAAAATTAATTTTATAATTATTACGTTATATCAAGTTAACAAATTTCTTTTGTTTTTGTACTTACATATAAATTTTCATCAGCCCGACATTGGTGAGCGAGAAACCGCCGACAACGCTTCATTCCAGCTACTCAGTGCAGAGCCTGACATCGGTATGCCCGTGCAACGTCCCTCAAATACAAAGGGCTTCCGGTACGGGGTCTCTTACTTTCAAACTTTAAACAAAAATAATATATGCTTTTTTTTAATTAGACGAGCCCGACGGATCGCGCAGTCCCAGGGTGATTACGCCGCCAACACCACCCTCCGAATCACACGACTACAATGAGCCTATAAATTACTCAGAACACAAATAAATTTCAATTATTTAATAAAAAGAAATCTTTCCTGTTAGGGAATGTTAATAATTAACAAACAAAAAATTTATAACAAACATTTTTAGAATGTAGGCTTTACCAAATTGCTTTATTAACTTACATCACTGTAAATAATCATCAGGGTTTAAATTAAACTTTGTAAATAAATAAAATTTTCAAAAACGTGTAAATATCCTTTTTTCCCTTTTGTAGACATTTTCTTGTAAATACATACAAAATATAGTGATTTGAGATTGTCTATATTGTTTTCCTTTACAATATAATATATATAAATCCTTGATGTCTTTTATAAGTTAATTTTTCTTAAATTATTAACTAGCGTTTCATTACCAAAATTTCTGAGGGGGTAAAACATTTTTTAAATTAATTTTTTTAACCACATCCTCCTCAAAAATTTTGACAATAAAATGCTAGGTTAATAATTTAATAAAAGTTACGTTATAAAAGGCGTCAAGGTATTGCTATGTCTATCAAATAAATACATAAACAAAAAAATGTATATAATATATATTGTTCTATGTACAAAAATTGCAATAATAATAATAATTAATAATAATAATGAGATAAAAAGAAAAAATAAATATTTTAAATAAATTAAAATCTAAGTTTTTGTTAACAGACTACAGGGAAAAATAGTTTTAAATATTTTTTTCTTTCATTTTTTTTATATATATAAGTGAATTAAAAACACTATATTACAAGGGTCGACTCCATGATAATTACATCGGGATATTCACTTTATACAATTTTTTTGTTTTTTTCGTTTCCGTTTATTGGTATTTCTGTACATCAGTCTATCTGGGCACAACACAGTATCCTCTAGACATCATCGATAGCTCCCTCCTGTACAATAAAAAAAATTATTATTTATAAAGAAGAAGATTAATATTAGACCTAGATATACCTGGCCGATTCGAGTCTGTCATTTCGGTGTCGTAGTCTTCGTCGCTGTCGGACGCAACGACCTTGGCCGGATGGACTGGCTCGAGCGTGTTGGCGAGGTAGCGGAGGTTCTCGACGCCGTTGAGCAGCTGGCGAAGCGACACTTCGGCCGTGTTGGCCGCGTTACGGAGCTGGCTGGCGAGACGCTCGCTCTGAGTCTGATGCGCCGATGTCGAAGCCGCTCCCATCGAGCCGCACTGTGCCTGCGACTAAGCACCACCATTTAACAACAAATAACCACCTATGATTTATATTGACAACATACCAACGAATCAACGTATTCTTTCAGCTTTGCAGCCCTGTTCTCTGCAGCCATAGCTCGTTTCTATAAATAAATTAAAAAAAAAAGTAAAGGACATGCAGTACATTAGAACTACCTTCTATCCATAACAAGTAACACCTAGAAAGAAAAAATATAAGATAGGAAATCCCGTAGCCTTAAAGGAATCATCAGGATGAGTTTTTTGATTTGAGGATTTATGGTGGTTGGGCGGTTTTATAAAACTTGCAGTAATCGGGGCAGATAGAGGATTAAGGATTTTTTAGGATTATTTGTATGTCAATTTGGATGGGGTGGATATTAGAATGTTTATCTGGTAGCCATACTTCCAGTCTGTATGTCCGGAGGTAGCATTTATCCAGATATCGTGCAAAAATTTGTCAATGTATTTGGTACCGAACCTTGTCCCCAGTTGGGAGGTGGAGTTAATTTCGAAATTAACTGGAGGATCAGTGCGGTTGAATGGTATAAACAAAGTTTCAAAAAGGAACTTAATAAACCACAACTTACTGTCATCTTGAATAATTCGTCTTCAAGTTTTTCATTATTGTGTAAAGTCGGGTTTGACCTTTCTCGACTCATCTGCCTGTTCAGTTCAACTTCCAGAGATTCGTTTCTATATATTAAAACAAAACAAAAATTTGAAGTTTTCTTCTAGCCATCAATTTAAAAAAAATATATATATATTTGTAGTTTCTGATTATTTCGGACTGCTTACCATTGCTATTCTGGTCTGTCAGACGTATTTCAATTTCTCATTATCTTCTGTGGTGGGTCTGATTTATATGTATATTGGGCTAGTTCAAATAATGCAGGTTTTGAATAGGCAGCCAAAATTATTTTTAATTTTTATAAAATAAAGAAAATTTATTGGAATAGTTTCCATCCCAATCTGTACATCTTTGCCAATGTGTAAAAAGCAGTTTTATTCCGCTGACATAAAAATCTTTATTTCAATTCACAATAAAGCGTTGGAAGGCGTTTTTGGCTTCACTGCGATCTAAAAATTTTATTCTTCAAGAAATGATCAAAATGCATCAAAAAATTGGAAATTTGTAGTAGGCAAGAGGTCTGGTGAATTGGGAAGGTGAAGTAAGGTTTCAGTCCTTAAATTTACACAGGATTGGCATCGCGACATGTGCCCTGGTTATCGTGAACAAGAATCTACCTCTTACGGTTTACCAACGATGGACAAAGACGTTGCAGCTTCCCGTGCATTTTGTCAATTTCATGGCAATATTTCTCTGCTGTGATAGTTACACTATAATTCAAGAAATATGTATAACTGTACACCACCAAACAGTAACCATACCTTTTGGGAGCAAATTTGGTTTCGGAAAGTGTTTTGGCGCTTCATCCTTGTCCTGACCTGAATGCCTCGTTATCGTGCAGAATTCATTTCCCATCTCATGTGATGATTCAATCAAGAAATTTTGGTCACACAACAGAAAATATGTGCAAAATTTCAAAGCGTCGATTTATTTGGGCTTCGGTTAGTTTCTGTTGAGCTTCTTTACTTTACCAATTTGCTTCAGATGGCCAACAACAGTTGAGTGGTAAACACTAAGCTTTTCCACAATAACCCTTGTTGTCTTATGTGAATTTTCTTCAATCAACATTTCGTATTGTTCGTCATCCACAACGAAAGGCCTACCACGTCTTCCCTGTGGTTGGTTGAAATCTCAAGACAAAATCTCTGCACCATCTCTAACTATCTCCGATATTTTTTAATCATATTGCACTATCACAGAGTCATGTTTATATTTGATATACCCTCATACAATGATCACTGAAGATGTTGAGAAGCTGGAAACTAACTGACAGACCAAAATGATCAAAAACTACCTAAATAAATATTTACCTCTGAACTTGTTGGCTGAGCTGTTGCCTGAGCATCTCGAGCTCAAGGCGCATCCTTTCATTTTCCTCTTGCAGCCTTTCGTTTTCAATCTGGAGCTGAAAATATTTTTTTTTAAATTACCATTAAAAAAAAGAAGAGATTTTTAAAAACAGCATGCATACTGGATTCGCCTGCTGCGGGGTCTCACGCCTGATAGGACCATCGCTGAGGAAATCAGGAAGCCGTTTGCTAGATGATTGTATGTCAGATGCTCCATTGGAAGTGATACTGCCCGAAGCATCAGAACCCTGCTGTCGTTGAGGGTTGTTGGAAGCCATGAGGTCAAAGGGGATGTCGCCCCGGACTGGAAAATCGCCATCCCTTTGTCTATTTAAACAAAAAATTACATTATAAGACCTCAATTTGAATCGGTGGAAAGAAAACGACTTACAATGCCGCAAGGTGCTGCGGGATGTTTTCAAGCCGGAAGGCTCCACTCCCAGAAGGAGAGCCGAGGTAGCTCTGCTCCATTACAAGGTGGTCTTGAACAAAATCCGGCAACGCCGAGGCCATGTCGAGTCGCGGCGATGGTGGCGGTGTACCCGGCGGTAGACCTTCTCCCTGCTGAGGCTGACGAGGGGTATCTGACTCCCTCAGGAAGTGCCGAAACGAAAAACAGCTACCTTCCCCTACAATTAAATGCAAAAACTTTCTTTAAAAAAACAAAAAACAATTACTTTTTCCACATTCGACACTGACAATTTAAAAGACAAAAGAGACAGAGTGTTTCAGTCCAGAGTGTGTACCTTACAGAATGCCGACTATTTGTTTTCCTTTTAAAATATTTTTTTTATATATTTTTTATTTTGTTGAACAAATTAAGTATAACAATTATGTAAATACTATAACTCACAATTTAATAAATAAAGAAAATATTTAATAAACATATGATCAAAGTGTATAAAATATCATAATATTTAATAGAACAAAGCTATTGCAAATTTAAACAAATAAACTTCATGTTTAAATCAACAAAAAAAACTTAATTGTTTTTTGTAATTAAACTTAATTAGTGTGCATTTAAATATGAGATAAGCCATTACAAAATGTGTACTGCTGCATGTCAGATGAAAACGAACGATCAACTGAATCAATTAGAGTTTGTGATCGGTTGCTTGATGGGAAAAAATGACACTTTAGATTAATTTACCACCAGTTGGATTGTAATCATTCAATGTCAGAGTATAGAATAATGAAACTTTTTTATGAGGATGTGAACGAAATGACCATTTTGTTCAAATCCTCATAAAAAGTTTCATTATTATTCTCAGACATGTCAGACGACAACCAATGGCCAAGAGTCTGAGAATTTTGTCAATTATTATTGTAGCACATTAAAGTGATGAGTGATATTAAAATAGACCGTTGATATTGTAAGATCCGACCAGTTCGAATCCCTCGATTAAATAAACCTAAGAATACAAAGCATAGAAAAAATAATTGTCAATAAGCCTAAACAAAATGGCCACAGTGATTGTTGGATATTGTGAGTCGGTGAATGTTGTCGAATGGTCAGGTGAAAGTCGGTAAGTGTAGTCGAGAAAAGCTTTAAAGCACAACATTTTTGAAAAGTTACATGTTGAATAGATGAAATTTGATGGGTTTTTGTGTCGAATATTTGACCCTACCGCCTAGGGTTCATTCTTGTTCTCAGCGACCTTTCACCCGGGAGAGTTGTCCTCTAGGATGTTCTGTTTAGTTTAGTATTTGTTTTGTTGTATTAATTGCTTAGAAAAAAATCACTGTCAATAAGCCTAAACAAAATGGTCACAGTGTTGTTGGATGTAGTGAGTCGGTGAATGTTGTCGGATGGTGAGGTGAAAGTCGGTATGTGTAGTCGAGAAAAGCTTTAAAGTACATTTTTGAAAAGTTACACATTGAATAGATGACATTTGATGGGGTTTTTGTGTCGAATGTTTAACCCTAATGCCTAGGGTTTGTTCTCGTTCTCATGGACCTTTCACCCGGGAGAGTTGTCCTCCAGTAGTTAGTTTAGTATTTGTTTTGTTGTATTAATTGAAATAAGTGTCGAACCTGAAGGCCGGGGCCAGTCGGGAGAGATGGATCCTGCTCTGGGCAGATTCTGCGGCTCTCCTAGACCGATGTCCAGTCTGACGGGCCGGTCCATCTCCTCGGCCCTGGTCCGACGTCGTCCCTCGTTGGAACCATCGGCCATTTTTACTATAATTTGTTTGTTTTGGGCTTCAGGCCGACGGTGAGGAACTGGAAACGGCCGCCATGTCAAGTCCGTTAAGTCCCCCAGAGACGGACTTGATACTTAAAAACAAACCTGAGAACTTTCCGACTCGGCGAACGGGTATCCTTCCCGGAGACGACTGCAGGCAGCACTTCCCCTTAGACCTTGTGAGTCGATCCGGCCTTCTTGTCAGTTCTGACACGGATCCGCAGAGCGCACTTCGTCTACAAGCAGAATGTGACGTCCTCCATACTACAAAAAAAATATTTCCCTAATTTTCACATAGTTTAAAACAAAAACTAAAGCAAAATGCAAAACCTAAAAAAATATTTTAAAAAACAACCGTCAAACCTACAAAAATCAATCTTAATCAGATAGTTTCAAAAGAAAAAAAAATCCATACACATCTTTCTCTACCCCTAATAAATAAATAAATAAACACTAATTAAACTATGAAATAATATTTAAAAAATCGAAAGCGTTTCTTATAAAATTAATCTTAATTAACAAAGTCTATCGATTGTACAATCGATCAACACTTTCATATTACATTAAATATAATAAGTTACAAATTATCCCCGGCATATTGTTACAAAAAATGGAAAACATAGGACTACCAGTTAAATTCTGTCACAACACAGTGGATTTATATAATAATAGAAACATAAAAGTTTGGTGATAAAGTAATAGGTTCAAAAGTCGCCATAAAGGGCTCCCACAGGGAGGAATCCTTTGTCCTTCACTGTATAACATATATATNTGTGTGTGTGTGTGTGTGTGTGTGTGTGTGTGTGTGTGTGTGTGTGTGTGTGTGTGTGTGTGTGTGTTACGGTGTTACAAGAGGGGCCCAACTCTGAATCCTTTTTATTAGGAACAGAGACCCAGAGGTCTTGATCGAACCTGAATACAAACCGATCAGGCCTTTTTATAATAAAGTTAATTTTTTTTATTTTTTATTATTACATTTATCTGATATATATATATATACGACTACAAATATTGTGTTAAGTAAATATACAGGGTGTCCCAGTTCCTTCTGACAAAACTCAGGGAATCGATTCTACTCTTCGTTTGGAGCAAAAAATGCCCAGGAGAAAATTTTCGGAAAGCTCTCTATTTCGAAGATATTCGTCAATTTAGTTTAGGTTTTTTCAACTTTTCACTACCTTAAAAAACTCTTACAACTTCCAAAATGTTGAGACTACAACAAATCCAATTACACCATTTAAAAGAACGCTAAATTTGCTGTGTAATACTTCTATTTGCAATAATCTGAATGACATAAAATGGTAGCCAATATCAGTTGGAACATTCAAAATTACAAAATTTAAAATTTGAATCATGATTGAACGTTCTACTGAGGTTACAAAAAAATACCTACAACTTGTCAAATTTCACAAAAACTTCTTCATCTAATATGCTTTACATTGATATATCCAATGGTGAACTGGGACACCCTGTATGTTGTAAATATATACTATAGTAGTAAATATATTCATATAAGTTGAATTTTTCATTTGAGTCTCTTGCAGGAGAAGTTGCCCAGTGGCAACATTCCTTCACACTAGTCTTGTTCAGTCTTCACTCAATGAGGTCTCAGGGCCACTATTGTTTTAATCGTCTTGGAGGATTTTCAGGCAGGGTTGGAAGTGATAAATTTAATATCGTACTAAAAGATTATTGTGTGTTTAGTGATTGGTGGAATTTTTTATAGTGGGTTTTGATGAGTTCATGTACAAACGGGATGTCGTTATGAATAGTGTAATTAGGGCGAGCGTTAGAATATGCACATGGGCTGAGGAATAAGAACATTGCAATTTTGACAGATAGCAAAAGTGCATTACAACTGTTGGACGACAAAAGAAATATGCTCTCATATAATAGTACATGCCTTCAAATATGTCCCATTTAGAAAGGTTGTATACCCAAGGTAAAATGCTGTACCTTGCGTGTATAAGAAGCTACATAGGGATTGAGATAAATGAGAAGGTGAACGTACATGAAACAGAGGTGAAGTTACCCAAAAGTGATCTGTTAGCTAGCCTTAGAAGGAATAAACAATAGGAACAACAAATCAACAGTTAGTAGGAAAAGACTTCTGCTGAACTATATGCCGGTTGAGATCCGACATATATGTAATTCATACCTGTACAGGCTAAACATAAAAAACTCGCCAGTATGTAATATATGTAAGGTAGAGGAAACACCAGAGCATATAATTATGAACAGCCCTAAACATAATAAGCATAGGAAAGACTTGTTTGAAAAAGTGATAAGCTTAGAGAAATGTCCATTTAATTATGTCCAGATACTAAGCCTAGAAGATATATAAATATATGCATAAATTTATAAAAGAGACAAAAATTAAATTTTAATAGCATCAAATGAATTGGGCTTAAGGGATGGTCAAGGTCTGGGGTCCTTCTAGCGTTCGACCGTTGGTAGGCTGGGGTGGAAGTGCTAGACCCGAATACCAGGTAGCTGTGGCTAAGAGTTAAGAAATATTAGAATTAATTCATAATATAGAGTGGGTCAAAAAAATATTCATGCAATTTTTTGAGGGAATTTGTATCTTTAATTATTTGTAGGTGTAGGTGTATTAGTCAGGGTGTAATGCACTGCACCCTTTAAAAGCTATTGTGTGCCTTTAGCACACTGGTGAGTCCTATTTCATCATGGATTTTGATTAGCAGGCCCCGTTTCAGTGGCTGAATTTTTTGTACAATCATGTTATTCATCCCAAAGCACTTCCTCTGTCTGTGAGCAAGTCTAGCACCACATTTTGTTAATAGGTGTGTCGGTGTCTCATCTGCTTCTTTGGAAAATCCGCTCGTGTCATTTTGGGTTATACCAATCTTCTTTAAATGTCCGTTTAGTTTGCAGTTCAAAATATTACACCTGATTGAATTAACAGTATGAATCACAAAATGGAGAATGAAAAGCGAAGAGATAAATTTTACTTTATGTAAAAGTTTCTGTCCACCAGTGAGTCTAAATTGGAACCCCATTGCCTACCACTGGTCTCATGCATTATTTTGGACTTTTCATGGATAAATGACTATCTTGGAATCCCCACACAAGAATGAAAGACAACATACAAATCGACGTTAGATGTAGATGTTAGAAAGAAATAGTCGGGGTGTAACATACTGCGCCCTTTAAGAGCTACTGTATCCCCATTCTCTGCCTAAAGCACATCAGTGAGTCCTGTTTCATCAAGGAACTTGATCAATAGGCCCGGTTTCAATGGTTGAATCTCTTCTATGATCACAATTTACATCCCAAAGCACTTCCTTCTGCGGGTAAGTGTAGCACCGCAGTTTTTTTAGTAGGTGTGTTGGTGTCTCTTCTGCCTCTTTGCAGAATCTGCATGTGCCATTTTGGATTATTCCAATTTTCTTTAAGTGTCCATTTAACTTGCAGTGTCCTATTAAGATTCGCAGTTATTCCTGCTTCCTGTGATACATTCTATTACTTCTTTCCTTATAATATTTGACAAGGGTTGTTTGTGTTCAATGAGTTCTCGTTTTCTTTTTATCCTTCTGTCTGAGGTACTCATTGATAGTGTGAATTCCTACGCCACAGAAGGGTTCAAGTCCTATCAGCATTATAGCAGCCCCTTTTCTTGCAAGGGTGACCGCTTTCTCGTTGCCTTCTACTCCCACATGACCTGGGCCCCAGCAGAGGCTGACTTTATTCTGCATACCGAATGTTTTGCAATTCAATGTTATTTGAACTAACGACATTTGAACTTAGTGTTTGATGGCTGCTTGGCTATCTGGCATGATGCTTAAGTTCTAGTTTTTGTACCCTTTAGTCATGTTGAATTGAGTACATCTCTTGATTGCATAGACCAACTTGGATGATACTGGTCCACAACTTATTTTTTGTAACCGAAACTTTTTTTTTAAATTTACCATTCATCAGTGGACAAGTTGTGCCAATCTACCAAATCCTTCCTTAACTTTTGTTCTTTCAGTTTAGATGCCCTAGGTGCCAAACTGTTCAGTTCTTGATGTACCAGGGTGACTGCCAAGCTCTAGTTCAAGCGGTTCCCTTAAAGTACAGTGGAGTGTCACCTCCAGGTTTTCAATGTTATCGAGCATTGGACATTATTATTGCATGCCTCATAAATATTTACACGGTTGCATTCGGGTTGGTTGGAATGTTCCAAGTTGCATAAAAGTGGAGAAGAATGTGAAAGATCTTTCATCTAAGAAGTTGATGAGAAATTGTCAAAAATATTTTGGAATACCAAGTTTTTTTTAGTTTGTATTTTAATAGAAAGTACCAAACCTCGTCAAAACGCTTCTCCAGGTCCAAGAAACTCCAATTTGTGAATTTATAGAAGAGAATTTTATTATACAGGCATAAAAAGTGAAACAGCTTAAGCCTAAGGAAAACCACTGGTTCTCAAATTTTAGTGTTGACTGAGTTCTTTACTCCTTGATGTGTGACAAAAGAAAAAACTAAAAAAAATAATTAAAGTTTATAAATAATGAAATTAAATAGTTGACATTAAGGTTTATTTAAATAATAAATAAATTTAATATAATAAAGTAGGATTTTTTGTTAGAAAATTTCCCTGTCTGAGGGTAGCTTGTAACAGTGAAATAACCTTCCGCATCTTAGAAAGAGTCAGCAAGAGTTAGTGACTTTGCTAATCTGTACTTTTCCCTTTTTCCTCATACTACGAATTAAATATGCTGAATCAAATTGATTACGGTAGCGTCCTGGTTGGAAATGGCCCTGCCAAAAGGTACTCCGATAAATATGAGGTCAATATCAAGAAAGCGCCTGACTTTTTCAAAAGGACACTGTGAGTATACACGTCGAGTTTTATTTTTCTTGATTTAATTTCATGCGCTTTTAAAGCTCTCCAATGACTACTACTTCATCCGTGGTGGCTGTTAAGTTCAACGGTGGAGTCGCCGTAGCAGCAGATGTTGGCGGTTATTACGGTAGCATGGCGCGTTTCTCATCGCTCGAAAGGCTCATCAAGGTGAACAACCAGATCGTAATGGCGTCCAACGGTGACTACGCAGACTTTCAATATATGAAAGACGTCATCGAGCAGAGAAGGTTTTACAATTTACCACTCCCTGTCTGCTCGTTTATTCAATTTTTAAATTTTTTATGTAGCATAAGTGAAGATATATTGGAAGACGGGTATCAAATGAAAGCCATTTCCCTCTATACATGGCTCACGAGAGTGATGTACTCCAGGAGATCAAAGTTCGATCCGCTCTGGAACAGTATCGTCGTCGCAGGGTTCAGTGATGGAAAATCGTAAGCGTTTACCAATCTTTATCAATAATGATGATACCATGATGATAATATTTTGTTTCTAGGTTTTTGGGAGCAGTCGACAAGTTGGGCCTTGCCTACGAGGACTCTTGCATCGCGACAGGCATGGGATCGCACCTTGCCCTCCCGATGTTGCGCGACTCCGTTGCAAAGAGCGGCGGTGTTGAGAAAATGACTAAAGATCAAGCCGTGGCCGTCCTGACAAAATGCCTCGAAGTCCTTTATTACAGAGATTGTCGTTCACTCCCTGTGGTATGTATATTTTTTTAATGTTAAATTTTCAAAAATAATTTTTGTGAATAATTTTTTTTTTTTCAGTTCAGGGTTGCTACTGTCACATCGGAAGGCGTCAATGTGAGCAAAGAGAAGGAACTTCAGAGCAACTGGGAAATTGCGCATTTCGTCAAATAAATTAATTTTCTATAATATTAATTCGTGATAATTTTGTATGTCATAAATAAATGATGTTGAAATGTTCATCTTTATGTAGTGTATTTGTATTTTGACTGATTTCCATCTAGAATTACACCACAGGACTTCATATAAAAAGCTTTATTGATTTTTTTAAAACATGTTATATTTTATGTAACATATATACTGAATTAGGGCGATGTTAAAAATATGTCATGACTACTTATTTGTTAAGTTCAATTTTTCTTATTTGTAGCATGTTTAATAATTAAAATATTCAAGTTTGTCCAGTATTCAAAGCCTATCAAATTTGAGTGAATTTACTGATATCGAATTAGATAATTGTGACAAACACAGCTTGTATATTTTACATTGATTAATTTCTGAGAACTTTTATAGCTGTGAAACGTGGGCTAATCTGCTTCCTTTAGAGTTTTTAACATCACCATTTGTTAATAACAGAGAATTTTTTGTGTATTTTAGAAGGACAGTGAGTTTAAAAGAGAACAACATATGCGGAAAAATGGAAGACTTTATATCAAATCTTGTAATGTGTGTTTTAATTTATTTCTGAGAAATTTTCCTACATTTTGACAAGTGTGAAAAACAAAAATTCAAAAAAACATTCATAGAACAGGAAAAAATTCTATATTTTTCCTGTTATAAAACCATTAAATTATTGTGTGAACTACAATTCTACTTTCTTAATTATGTCATTTTTATATCAAATTTAAAACCTTGTGTCATAAAAAAATTATACTAATTCGATCACATCATTATTACATTATTTCTGAGAAATTTTCTTACATTTAGATAACTAGGAAGACATTCCATCACTTGAAAGGCCACGGTGATTTATGTAAAATCAGTATTTGCTTCCTCTATTAACTTTGCCTCGCATGATGTCTTTCTACTTGAAGTAATTTTAGAAAATTTCTTATAAATAAGCAAATGAAATAAAAAATATCATTTAGTCACCATTAAAAACATTGAATTTCTGCCAGTGTTGATCAGTTTTTACTGATATAACATTATTTTACTCAAAGAAATTTAAGAAAAATTAAAAGAAATCTCCATACAGAAAATATTTTGTGTAATTTAAATTTGTGTGAAATCATTGTGTGTTTCATTGTAAAACAAGTGATCTCAGTAGGCCTTTATAAAAAAAGAGAAAGCAGAAAGTCGATTTCCCCCCCTCAACAGTTCTATCCCTTGTATATGTATTTGTTAATTTCTGAAAAATTTTCTGGATTTCTTTGATTAGAACGAGTAAAAAAAAATAGTTCAGCATTGTCAGAAATCCCGTTTTTTCAAGCTGCAAAACCTCATGACCTAATCTACTTTCTATGTTACATCATCATTCGCTTATTTCTGAGAAATAATCGCACATTTAGATGAATCGGGATGTCAAATTGGTCAAACTTCAAATATTCTTGTTTCCTACTGTAAAAAAGAAATGCAATCAAAATCCAATCTCTAAGATTTTAATTAATTTTCATTATATCATTACTCTTTAATTAATTAGAGATCTTTTGTAAATTTCAGTTTATTTTGAATTAATGAAATATGTCGAAACAAACAAAGTTTACAGTAGAGACAGAATCTTTGCCTAGCTGTAAAACCTTGAGAGCTATTATTAAATAAATATGTTATTTATAAAATAATTTTGGAGCAATTATTGTGCATTTAGGTGAATTTTAAGACTTCATATTAATAAATAATACTTGCTGGCTGTCCTGTCAGATGAATTTCATTATTTAGCCATCAATGTTGAGTCTGTATGTCAGATGAAAACTAGTTCATCGCCCTGCATATTAAACAGAGAAATGCCACAGTATATAAATAAGTATAATTAAACAAAACTATTTGATTAATATAATTGTTGATTAATTTGATATCCCGATATGTCAGAATGTGAGATTATGTCTCAGAAATAAACAAATGATGTAATATAGAAAGTAGATTAGGGCATGAGGTTTTGCAGCTTGAAAAACAGGGGATTTCTGACAATGCTGTACTTTTTAAATTTTTTTTTAAACTGTTGTTCTAATCAAAGAAATACAGGAAAATATCTCAGAAATTAACTAATAAAGATTTTAAACAAATTAAGACACAACAGGGGATAAAATTGCTAGTTAAAAACAAGGAAACTTTCTGCTTTCTCTTTCTCTCTTTTTTTTTTTTTAGTATGGAGATTTTGGAGAAGTCTTCTTAAATTTAGTTGAGTACAATGACATATCAGTAAAGTGTGATCAACAAGCAAAACTCCAATGTTTTTAATGGTGCAAAACGTTATAATATTTTTGTTTATTATTTAATTTGTTTATAAGAAATTTTTTAAAATTACTTTAAGTAGAAAGACATTATGCCAATCATCAATAGAGGAAGCAAAAACTGTTTTTTCTTAAATGGACTTTCTAGTGATGTAACATCTTCCTACTTATCTAAATGTAAGAAAATTTCTCAGAAATAATGTAATAATGATGTGGTCGAAATAGTATGATTTTTATATGACACGAGGTTTTTAATTTAATATAAAAATGACATAATTAACAAAAGTAGAATTACAGTTCGCACAATAATTTAATGGTTTTATAACAGGAAAAATATAGAATTTTTTCCTGTTCTATTAATATTTTTTCTGCACTTTTGTTCTTTACACTTGTCAAAATGTTGGAAAATTTCTCAGAAATAAATTAAAACACATTACAATATTTTACAATGGTGAGAAAATATTCCACTTATGCCATATTTGTTTGAACTTTTATATCGATTGAACAACTTGAATCTTTAAAATTTCTCATTAATTAATAACCAACTTCTTTATTCCTAAGAAATTTTCCTAAACTTCCCATAAGTTAATAACCAACTTCTTTATTAGATGTTATGCTAGTCAAACTTCAACAGATGACTATTATCTACCATTTATCTTAAATTACTGTGAACTTTCTAGTGATAAAAAACCATTCATTTGTCCAAAAATGTGCTCTTTTTAACAAATGTCATTCTACTCACAGAAAATTCCCAGAAGTTAACAAATGGTGATTAATTGAACAAATAGTGATGTTATAAACTATATAGAAAGTAGATTAGCCCATATTTCCCCAGCTATAAATTTCTCAGAAATCAATCAATGATTTAATCAATATACCTGCTGTGTGTTGTCATAATTGTCTTAAAATTTAATAGGATGCCAGTACAATTCGGTCAAAATTGATAGATTTTGAATATTGGACAAACTTTAAGGTTTTAATTGTTAAACATGCTGGATGAAAAAATATAGAATTTTTTCCTGTTCTATGAACTTTTTTTTGTATTTTTATTCTTCACACTTGAAAAAACGTAGAAAAATTTCTCAGAAATAAATTTAAAAAAAACACCTTACAAGATTTTGTATTGAGCTGAGACATATTTTCTCAACTTATGCCATATATATTTTTTTTTACTTTTGTACCTATTTAATTTTGAAAAATTCTCATAAATAAACGAATAACAATAGTGTCAGTCAAGAAAATAGACAAAATGCCTACAAAACTTCTCAGAAATATATGAATATTTTTTTGAACAAGAGGGGACCAAAATTTTATGAAATTTGGAGATTCATTGCATATCCGCCATCTTTGATTAAATTGTTCCCCTGTATTTTGAATTAAAAGCGATTTTACAACTTAAAAATAAACAAATCATTTAATAATAATTTCTCAGAAATTAATTAATACATGAAAACAGGATTTAAGGAAAACAAAAAACAAAGAAAATAAAATAAAAGCAGACACTAGGTCATTAAAAAATTGAATGGAAAACTATTAAACTTCCGCCATCTTTGATTAAATTGTTCCCTGTATTTTGAATTAAAAGCGATTTTACAACTTAAAAATAAACAAATAATATAATAGTAATTTCTCAGAAATTAATTCATATATGAAAGCAGGATTAAAGAAAAAAAAATAAAATAAAATGAAAGCAGAGACTAGGTCTTTAAAAATTAGGATGGAAAAATATTAAATTGTCGCCATCTTTGATTAAATTGTTCCCCGTATTTTGAATTAAAAGCGATTTTACAACTTAAAAATAAACAAATAATATAATAATAATTTCTCAGAAATTAGTTCATATATGAAAGCAGGATTAAAGAAAAAAAATGAAAACAGAGACTAGGTTTTTAAAAATTAGGATGGAAAAATAGTAAATTTCCGCCATCTTTAAACTTTTGTACTGATTGATTTTGTAAATTTCTCAATGATTGATAAATAATGTGGCGATGGAGGATGAAAAAAGATAAACAGTATTCACCAGAATGCACGATAATGTTATTTAAAAATAAGTAATGAATGACTTGCCGGTTACTTGTGAATGTTGATGTTTGTGGTGATTTGAATTGTAATTTTTTGGTTGGTTTTTGCTAATGCGTGACAATAATTAATATAATAATGGTGAATAATAACTGAAGTGAGTTGGAAGGTGGCCGCTTCCGGCGGAGGGTTTTTGTTTACAATCCGCCAGCGTGACCTTGCTCACTGGGCTCCGAAGGGGGTGCGCACGTATTTAGGAACGGCGCTAAACAGAATAGTAGCCGGGGGGGCGCACGGCCCGGGGATCGGCCGACTCTGACGTCATTCATCAACCCAAACCAGTCCGGTTGAACAACAACACGAGAGGACCGTTTGACCAATTTTCCTCCGGGCCGACGGATTTATTTTCGCGTTGTGGACAAGGGTTCGAGTTGCCGAACGCAGCCGCCCCAGAATCCGACTCTGACGGCCTCCGACCAGATGGACTCGCTCAGGGAACAGGTGATGATCAACCAGTTCGTGTTGGCCGCCGGATGCGCCAGGGAACAGGCGAAACAGCTACTCCAGGCGGCCCACTGGCAATTCGAGGTGAGACGGATTCCTTTGTTTAACTATAAAACAAAATCACCGGATGATTTACCAAATCCTGATGAAGAAACTCAAAAGAATTCCACCTCCTTACTTCCATCCCAAGTCTCCATCAAAACACTTAAATTTAAAAACAAGGAAAAGTTACAAACCCCAAAAAAACACCCTACACTCATTAAAAAAAACCCTCAAAAAACCATAAAAAATCAAATTAAAAACTTAATCGTTTAATAATTAAAAATTGAAACGTAATAAAAAGTGTTATAATGGGTTTTTCTATTTTCAGACCGCCTTGAGCATATTTTTTCAAGAAGCCGCCTTGCCTTCTTACGCCCAGTCGTCGACTCATTTCGGCCAGGTGAGCCTTTTTTTATCGTTTTATTTATTTTGGCCCGTTTCAATATTATTTTTGTTTTAAAATTTATTATTATTTTTTTCGTCGAGGGTGCGTTGCCCCCCTCCTCGACTCTCCGCGACGTCCTTTGACCCAGACTTCCAACCGGATCGATATCCATGTTTGTTGACAACTTTCCGGCCCCTCGGCGATGGCCCCGGGTAAACAGATAGAGTGGAAAAGCCCCCCCCCCCCAAAAAAAAAGAAAGGGGGAAAAAAGGAAAATCGATTTTCTTAGACCGTATCATTTCCCGGGGTGGTTTTTTTTTTGTCTTGTCGTTTTTCTCTCCGTCTTGGCCCTCGTTGGCCACCCTCCACGGTCGAAGACATGACGTAACTTTTCGACACGGGACGTGACGGGGCGACTTCTCAAAAGGCGAAAAAACGACGACTTTCTCCCCTCAAAAAAAATTTACAAAACATTAAAAAAAAAAAAAAAAGTAAAAAAAAATTTTACATTTCAATATTTATTGTTTTTCCTCAATATTTATCCTACCTGTTCTCGAAATTGTAAACAATGGCCAGGAGCCCCCCCCCCATGGAATTTTTTCGCAATGGAAGCCGTTTGTTATTGTTCGCCCCTCTACGCGCCCTCCGCCCCTCTTAAGCCTTAACACGGGTTAACTTTCTTTTTTTTTCTTTTTTTTTTTTTAAATTTCCTTCCTCTTCCACTTCGATTTATTATTCTATAACTTTAATACAAACACATTCATAAATAAACAAATAAATATAACGCAATCCTGCGCCGATGGGCGTAAGAATTAACCCGAAAAGTCGCAAAGGTCAAATTCGCCGTTTCGATCCATGATCTCGCCCAATGTATTCATCATTCAATCCTTTTTATTTAATATTAATAAAAAAAACCATAAAAGGATTGTTTTTTTTTATTAAACAATACTCTAACTTAATTTTTCTCAAATATGGCGTTTTTTTGTTTACATCAAAATAGAACCATGTTGTCGGAAAGCCTGGTTTCATGATCTCACCCAATAAAATCATAACATACTACTTTTTGTTTTTTTAATAAGAAAACGGATTCAGAATACACATTAACAATAAAATTCCTTTATATAGAACAATTGTCAACTTTATTACTCTAAAACGTGTTTTTTCTTGTCAAAATAGACCCATGTTAAGAAGTCATTTAGAAAGCCAGGTTTCTGATATTGCCCAATGGATTCATACATTATTTGTTTTTTATAAGAAAAAATAAATAGACATTAACAGTAAAATTGAACTATAACCAAGCTTAATTATTTTCAAACAGGGTGTTTTTCATGTTAAAATTGAACCTGCTACCTTAAGAACATGTTAAGTCAATTGAAAACTTAGTTCCATGATCTCGCCTAATGGATTCACAATTTACTACTTTTGTTTTTTTTTTTTTTTAATAAGAAAAAGGCCTGTGAATTTGCAACAAATAAAAGTTTTTTAAATTAAACAACGCTTAATCTAACTGATGCCAAATGTTTTGTTTTTATTGTGAAATATAACAGAGTAACTCACTGAAGTATATTGTATATATATATTGAAGTATAGTGTATTGATCAGCATTGATTGGTCTCACCCAATGGATTCACATATTACTACTTTTTTTAAGAAAAAGGCCTAAAAATTCACATTAACAGTAGAAGTCCTTAGTATTGAACTATACCAAGCTTAATTATTCTCAGACAGGGTGTTTTTCATGTTAAAATAGAACTTATTACCTTAAGAACATGTTAAGACAATTGGGAACTTAGTTCCATGATCTCGCCTAATGGATTCATAATTTACTACTTTTGTTTTTTAATAAGAAAAAGGCCTATAAATTCGCAACAAATAAAACTTATAAACAATGCTTAATCTAACTGATGCGAAATGTTTTGTTTTTATTGCAAAATATAACATAGTAAGTCACTGAAGTATATTGTATATATATTGAAGTACAGTGTATTGATCAGCATTGATTGGTCTCGCCCAATGGATTCATATATTACTACTTTTTTATAAGAAAAAAGGCCTAAAAATTCACAGTAACAGTAGTCCTTTGTAATGAACTACACGCAACTTAATTCTACACTCAAATGTAGTGTTTTTTTGTTGACATCAAAAGCTAGGATTCATGATCTTGCCCAATAGAATAATATACTACTTCTTTATTTGTAATATAAATTCACAATACACATTAACAATAGAAGCCCTTTAAGTGGAACACTTACCAACTTAATTACTCAAAAATATCTTCTTTTTTTTGTCAAAATTGAACCATGTTAAGTCGTCAATTGGAAACCTGGTTTCATGATCTCGCTTAATGGATTTGTAATTTACTAGTTTTTTTTAATGTAAAAAAGGCCTGTAAATACACTAAAAATAATAGTCCTTTTTTATTAAACAACACCAAAATTAATTTCTACCAAATGGTTTCTTTTTATGTAGTAGTAAGTCACTGAGGTGTTTTGTTCTGCGATGATTATGACTTCACTGAATATATTACTACTTTTTAAAAAAAATTAGAAACAGGCCTAAGAATACACATTAACATAATCCTTTATATTCCTTAATATTCACATTAACAGTAAAAGTCATTTGAATTGAACTATACTCAGTTGTACTCAAATTTGGTGTTTTTTTGTTTATATCAAAGTGGAACCACGTTGAGTCAATTGGAAAGCTAGGTTTCATAATCTCGCCCACTCGAATCATAATATAGTACTTTTTTTTAATTAAGAAAAGATTAATTTTTAATTAAGATTCAGTATACATATTAACAATAAAAATCCATTATATTGAACAATTGTCAACTTAATTACTCTAAAATGTGGTGCTTTTTTATGTCAAAATAGACCCATGTTAAGTCCTCGATTAAAAAGCTAGGTTCATGATCTAGCCCAATGGTTCATAATTTAATACTTTTTAAAAAATAAGAAACAGGCCTAAAAATGCACATTAACAATAAAATTCCTTTATGTTGAACAATTGCCAACTTAATTACTCTAAAACGTGTTTTTTCATGTCAAAATAGACCCATGTTAAGAAGTCAATTAAAAAGCCAGGTTCCTGTTTTGGCCTAACGGATTCAAACATTACTTTTTTTTTAATAAGAAAAAGGCCTAAAAATACACATTAACAGTAAAAGTCCTTAGTATCGAACTATACCAAGCTTAATTATTCTCAAACAGGGTGTTTTTCATGTTAAAATAGAACTTGTTAACTTAAGACCATGTTAAGACAATTGGGAACTTAGTTCCATGATCTCGCCTAATTGATTCATAATTTACTACTTTCTTTTTTTTTAATAAGAAAAAGGCCTATAAATACACAAAAAAATATATATTTTTTTAAATTAAACAACCCTTAACCTGATAACCAAGTCAATTGGTAACTTAGTTCCATGATCTCGCCTATTGGATTCATAATTTACTACTTTCTTTTTTTTTTTTAATAAGAAAAAGGCCTATAAATACACACAAAAAAAATATTTTTTAATTAAACAACCCTTAACCTGATAACCAAGTCAATTGGTAACTTAGTTCCATGATCTCGCCTAATGGATTCATAATTTACTACTTTCTTTTTTTCTTCTTTTTTTTTTTTTTATAAGAAAAAGGCCTAATAAATTCACAACAAATAAAAGTTTTTTAAATTAAACAACGCTTAATCTAACTGATACCAAATGTTTTGTTTTTATTCCAAAATATAACAGAGTAAATCACTGAAGTACATTGTATATTTGCTGAAGTGCAGTGATCAGCAATGATTCTGGTCTCACCCAATGGATTCATATATTACTACTTTTTTTTTTAAATAAAAAAAGTCCTACAAATAGTCCTTTATATTAAACTTAATTACAATTGGAAAGCTAGGTTCATGATCTAGCCCAATGGTTCATAATTTAATACTTAAAAAAAAAAGAAACAGGCCTAAAAATGCACATTAACAATAAAATTCCTTTATATTGAACACTTGCCAACCTAATTACTGTAAAATGTGGTGTGGCTTTTATATCAAAATTGCACCATGTTAAGTCAAGGCATTTGGAAAACATAGTTTCATGATCTCGCCTAACGGATTTTTAATTTACTTTTTTTTCTTCTTTTTTTAATATGAAAAAGGCCTGAAAATGCACATTTAGTCCTGTTTTTTTATTAGCTTAATTTCTACCAAATGGTTTGTTTTTATGTGAAAATATAAAATAGTAAGTCACTGAAGTGAATTGACCAGCAATGTTCGGTCTCACCCAATGGATTCATATATTACTATTTTTTGTTAGAAAAAGGCATAAAAATACACATTACAATAAAAGTTATTTACATTGAAAAACACCCAACTTAATTACCTGTTTTTATTACATCAAAATAGGACCGTGTTAAGTCAATTGGAAAGCTAGTTTCACGATCTCGCCGTCATAATTTAATACTTAAAAAAAAGCCTAAAATACACATTAACAATAAAAGTCCTTTTTTTTATTAAACAACACCTAACTTAATTTTTACCAAATGTTTTGTTTTTACGTCAAAATACAGCAAGTGACTGAAGTGTATTGATCAGCCATAATTATGGCCTTGCCCAATGGATTCTTATGTTATTTCTTATTTTGTAAGAAAAAAAGCCTATAAATGCACATTAACAATAAAATTCCTTTATATTGATCCATTGCCAACTTAATTACTCTAAATTTTTTTTAATATATATATCAAAATATTAAGTCATGTCAAAAGCTAGGTTCATGATTTCGCCCAATGGTTTCATAATTTACTACATTTTTTTACAAGAAAAAGGCCTAAAAATACTCATTAACAGTAAAAGTCCTTCGAATTGAACTATACTCAACTTAATTACACTCAATTGTGGTGTTTTTTTGTTTACATCAAAATAGAACCATGTTAAGTCAATTGGAAAGCTAACATTCATGATCTCGCCCAATTGAATCATAATATAATACTTTTTTTTAAAATAAGAAAACCGATTCAGTACACACATTA